TGTAGCCTTCTGTCCTTTTTCAGCTCAGGGAAAGAGTTTTCCGGTGTGTTTTAAGTTTCCATCCTTCATTTTCTCTGTTTCTTTCACCCTGGAATTCCTATTAGAAAGTTGTTAGAACACCAAGTTGACTCTCATTGTCTTCACTTTTTCAATTTCATCTTTTTTCTCTGTATTATGAAATATTTAGATGAATATTTTACAATCTCCATAATAATACAAATCTAATCTAATCTAATCTAATCTCCATAGACACACTATGGCAATCACATTTTTAATTTCTGAAATCTCTTGTTTTCAAATTTCTTCTTTCTCTTAGTAGCATTTTTATATACAATACAAAAACATATATACAGTATCTTTCCAACATCTCTTAGGACATAAATCGTTTTTACATTACCTCCTGCTCCCTAAGTTCTCTTACTTCTAGAGACAGAAGCTCTGGTTAGTCACGTTGTTAAATTTTCTCTTAAGTCTGGTGAGCCTTAACTATTCATTTATATTTATGAATCAAGGCCAAGTTGGTTGCAGGGAGCTGGCATGGTTTAATTCAAGAGATATAAATAAATGTTTCCTATAAATAAGATTGTCCTTTGATTTGAAGGGCTGACTGTGGAAGGGTTGAAGAATGATGAGGCATATAAACTTGCTGCTCCACTTCAGGTTGTCTGGCCATGGTACAAGTATGTAGAGGACCAATCCCCACTTCGCCCTTCCCTCTCCACTAAATAAATAAGCAAAATTTTGTTCTAGCAATGATGGACTTCAATGTATTTTCCCTTGAGCAAAATTCCTCCTACCTATTATGAAATTCAAAGCTACCACAAAGTCTGCTCTGATTCCCTTCTCACAGTCCTTCAACAACACCAGAAGCTCATCCCTTGGAGAGTTTCAACCAGAAACAAACCTGCTAGTCCCTGATATCAGTTGGAAGCAGATAGACTCCACTGTTCTGAATGCAGTTTTGGACCCCTTCTCCTCAAACTCCACCCCATCCTTTCTGATGCTTGCTGTTCAGTGACACACCCAGACAAACGGATTTTGTTTCAGTACATCAGTAGGTATCACACTGGTAGGGGTTTAACTGAAAAGTTACAATTCCTTCAATGAGAACTGTCAGTCATTTCTAATCTGTAGACCAATCAGAAGTAATGGCCCAATATTAACACCCAGGAGTCCCAAGAAATTAACACAGAATTACTTCCCTGTGTATAAACTCCAGGCTTTTTGCACACAACCAGGAAAACACAAAAGGGATCAAATGCCAGTTGAAAGCTTTTTATCCTACAGATATATATGTAAGGTTTACAAAGAAGAAGTAAACACATTGCCACAGGATGGGGTACATGCAACTTGACCTTGTATTTTGGTTGTGTTTCTCTTCACCTAATTGCTCCATGCTGGCACGCTCATCCCAATTTTTCTCCAGGCATAATCGATGCTATGGCTACCAGGGAACAGTAGTACACTACTTCTTATCTATCAAGCTATTTATTAAAAGTACTGTACATTCTGGTTTCTTTTTGCTGGTGTGAAGAACACAGGAAGCCGACTGACTTCAGGGGGTAGCAATTCATAGAATTCAGTAACAACAGAACAAAGTACAAAGTGTCCAAAGACTCTTTGTGCAAGTTCTTTTATAGAATATATTTTCTCTTTTTCTCACAGCAGTAACTTACAGATCATTAAATTTCACACATTTCCTATTCATTTTCCATGTTAAAATATGGCTTATGACCCTGAGTAGAACTATCACAGGATTCTGCCCTATAACTCAACTTTTACTATTTGATAATATATGACTTTTCAAAGACCAGCAAGTCATGGCCCATGAACCTAGTCACATAAGTGATTTCAAATGGATCAAATGTGTACACTTTTACACATGGAAAAAAACTGAAGCTCTGAAAATGTCACAAAGAATAAAATAATTGAAGATTGCAACTGTTCCCATTATGCAAGACCTTTAACTAGACTTAACAACCAAAATGTAAAAAGAAAATAAAATACCTCAGTGTTGTAAGATGCAAGTAAAAGCAAAGCAAAATAAATAAGCATGACTCTATTCCCACTTCCAAATAAGAGAAAAACAAGCAAGCAACAAGAATTTGAAAGAGGCACTGAGTTTTGCAAAACTCAATTTGTTAAGACCATCATTGGGGATAGATTTTAAGGAAGGAACCTATGGTTCTCTAAAATCAAATTTATGAGCTTTTGCTCTTTGGCATATTCTATTTTATAAATCAGTCAAAAAGAAATTGATACACCTTACACATAGTATTTAGAGTTATTCCATTGAAGGTGAGATACTAAACTATTTACACTTTTATTTTAGACCAACTCAACCTATTTAAAAATTACTCATCTTTGTGGTTGATGTTCAATTCAGATACCTAAGCATTTAATCTTACCAAAAACCCTTAAACCTCATGGATAGAAACGTAGGAGGAAAACATATTTTCTCAGGTCTTAAAACCACAAACAAATAGCCTTGATTTCCAAAACAATATAATCTTTCGTCAGGTATTCCCTCTACAAATATTTATCAGATACTATGAAGCATCCTATAAGGCTTCTACACACCAGGTGGCCAGAGGCTGCCAGAGACTTCAGGCAGCCTGAGCTAAGACAACTAACTGGCTGCCAGAATGCTGAGAGGGGATAATATCTCAGCACACCTACCACATATACCACATTTCAGTGTCCCCCAAAAGACAAACTGAGAAGTTCTGCTTTACATTTTTTTGCCTATTCAGCACATTCAGCACATTCCCACTTCTATGACCAGTACACTATCTATTCTTCCTTTGGGGGACCATCTCACCCCATTCCACATGAACCTGATGGCAGAAACAATTTTAGGACCTGATACTTCACCTACTTCTATTCTACCCAGGATGGCCAAGTAAAGTGCCCCATTATCCCATCATGATGGTTGGTCCAATGTAAACACATGACCTAAGCAAGGCCATTCTGAGCATTCTTTACTTCTCTCTTCCTTTTGAATTTTGAATATAAGCTTATAAGGCTTTGGGCTTCCAGCAAATTCACAGAGGAAAGAAACTGTAGCTTGAAAATACTGTCCAGACCATGAATGTCCTAAACACTAGAGGTAACAAAAACTAGAAGAAAGGATTTTGAATGTTTCCAACATGTACACACAAAAATGATAAACATTTAAGGTGATGGATATACTATTATTAATTACCCTGATTTGATCACTGCAGATTTTATACATATATCAAAATATCACTCTGTATTCCATAAGTATGTACAATTGTTAATTGTGAACTAAAAATAAAGGGGAAAAAACGTTTTAGGGCAGTTTAAGATGGGTTTCTGTTACTTATAGAATTTGATCATGCTTGATCAAATTTCCTGTGTGTGTGTATAGATAGATGCAATATATGTTTTATATCAGTGGTGTAGACAGAACAAGGTAACCCACTGTATAACTTCAACGGAATCCTTCTTTAGATAATCTTCAGGCATTATCTGCATTAACTATTCTAGCGATTATCCTACCAAGTGTCAACACTGAAAGAAAACATTGGTTAGAATTAGGATCACTATAGAAAATACAAGGAGAGATAAAGCAGAAAGCAAGTTAAACTGATTCACATTATGCATACACCATGAAACAAAAGTATTTTGAGTATATTACAAATACACTTGCAGAATCAGAACAGATGAGGTCAGAGTGAAAACTTTTTGTGAGATATGAGCAGTTGTTTACACAACAAAAAGGAATGAGTACAACAATTTGAGGATAAAAAGGAATTCCAAATACATTAACTTCATTATCTGTATTTTTTTGTTTTTTTTTTGTTTGTTTGTTTTTCCTTTGAGACAGAGTCCCAGGCTGAAGTGCAGTGGCATGATCTCAGCTCACTGCAACCTCCACCTCCTGAGTTCAAGCAATTCACCTGCCTAAGCCTCCTGAGTAGCTGGGATTACAGGTGCACTTCACTGTACCCGACTAACTTTTGCATTTTAGTAGAAACAAGGTTTTGCCATGTTGGCCAGGCTGGTCTCAAACTCTTGACCTCAAGTGATCCGCCCACCTCAGCCTTCCAAAGTGCTGGGCTTACAGGCATAAGCCACTGCACTCACTTAACTTCATATCTCAAATAAACACATTTACCCCTTTTCTACCATCAAAGTTTTTCCTCTAGGAACACATCACTTTTCCATTGGGAGACGGAAGGTTTCTTCATCATTCTTGAAAAGAAACCCAAGCACAGATACTAATAAACAGAGGATAACAAAAATGTCAAAACTACTTGGTTAGAAAACCTTTCCTTTATAGGAAATGCATTCTAGAGATTCTATCAATTGGAGAAAAAGAAAGTCACAGGTTATTATGCTAAATATGTGGTTAGTGTAAAAGGCTGGGGAAAGAAGTCTTATTAACGCCTGACTGCTTTCTCATTATATCCTAAGTTCTGTGCAGATAGGAAGAAAAATTGTTTACCCTCATATCCTAGCATGCAGATCTGTACCATATGCATAGCAAAGAGTCCATACTTTTTAGCTTATTAAATGACTCAATAAAGATAGTATCAAACTGCAAGAAGTTAAAAAGATATTAATGTCTATTGTATAGGCTCCCTTATCCTGAATTGATTAATCTGTGTCCACTTTAAATGATCAACATTAGAACTAATGGATATGTATCTTGGAATAGGTTCCAAGAGTTGGCAAAAGCATTACAAAAGAGCAAATCCACCAAAAAATTGGAAGAACCAGAATAGCACCATGTGCAGATTTCCTTACAAAGTATGCTTTCATTTAAAACATGTTTGCATCATTAAGTATACATCAACTCAGAGTAAGGAAAAAGAAGAAAAAAATGGAAGGATAAAGATAGCAAAAAAAAAAAAAAAAAATCATCAACCCATAATTTAAAACTCTGCTGCAAATAATCCACAAAGCAGGAATCATCTACAGTTCCAATGACTAAGCTTTCTTCTCATTATTGTTCCATCATTCTCTTGCTTTACCTGGGAGGAATCTGCTTGGGCTAATTCTGTAGTGACCTTCAGTATTTGGTGAAGATTCTGTCCTTTGTCTTCAACAAGGAGGTGAGCCAGCAGAAGAAAAGCAGGCACAGGGATCACAGTAGTAATAGGAAGCAATGACTCTACTGAAGCCAACCAGTCATTTGCAGCAGACGAGTCTCTCATTACTTCAAGAATCGTCCAGGCTGTAAATATTGAACCATACATACTGGTTACAGGGCACGCAAGCTTGTAGGAGAGCTGAAAAATAAAGACAAGAGAGGCATAAATAAGTGAGATAAATATATTTGTCAGAAATATATTTTTGGCATTCGTATATTTCATTGTAAGATATCACTCCTTCCAAAATATGAATACAAATTGAATTGCTGCCAAAATCTTCTCTGCACATAATTGAGGTAATAGGATTACACAAAGAGAAAAGAGTTGTTAGATGGAACTCTAGAAGAGTTTTATCACAACTTTCCCTCATATTTACCATTCATTCCCCATTAAGGCAGAAAATACGAATCAATATACAAGATCCAGAGGCAACTGTGTTTGGAAAAAGTTATTATCACTAAAAAAGTATTCACCAATGAGAAGAAAGATAAAAAAAAAAAAAAATACTGTATTTGCCCAGCTCCAGGCCCTACGCAGAAGCAGTTTGGGGCAGATGGCAGACTTGGACTGAGGACAATTCATTTCTGTAACAGACAGTACGTTGATAGGAACAAAGTTGGTTCAGCTGGAGCCTGGGAATTCATTAATAATTGTAACTTGTGCAATAGGAAATGGTCTGACAGCTCTAAGCTGAAACAATACCCAGAGATGATATTATCCTAAATTAATCTGAGAAATGGCTCCTCGCAGAAATAAAGTAGTGCAGACAGGGCCAGAGGGTAGCCAAGGTGAGCTCTGTAAATAAACAACTCAGGAGAAGTCACAGACGTTAAAGAATCATTAGACACTGCTTGCTAATAAAGTAATTCAAATCATGTAGAGTGCTTTGTGACAGATTAGAAATCTCTAGATTATAACTGTCTGATCAATAGAGGCTGACTTATATGAATCAGGATAACAATTGAAAGGATGGAAAGTAAAAGTTAAGCTTTATAAAATTTTTAAATAACAGCTTTATTGAGATATAATTTGCATACTATAAAAGGCACCCTTTAAAAGTTTATGACTTATTAGATTTTAGCAATTCATTTCTAGAACTGTGTAACCATCATCACTATCTAATTTTAGAACATTTTCATCAACCCACACAAAAATCCCATACCCACTGATAGTCACTCCTTATTCCCCCAACCCCACCTCCAGCCCTTGGCAACCACTACTCTACTCTGGTTCTATACTGGCCATTTCAAATAGGAAACACATAATATGTGGCCCTTTGTGACCAGCTTCTTTCACTTAGCATGTTTTCAAGGTTCATCCATGTTGTTACTCGTATCAATAATTCATTTCTTTTTATTGACAAATAATATTCCATTGTATGGATACACCATATTTTGTTTATCCATTATCAATTGATGGATATTTGGGTTGTTTCCACATTTTGGCGCTAACGAATAATGATGCTATGAACACTCCTGTAAAAGTTTTTGTGAGGTTATAAGTATTCAATTTTCTTGAGCATATATCTAAGAGTAGATATGAAATGTCTTTGACAATTAAGTAAAAACAAATGAGGAAGCTCTCACTGTATTGATATAAAAAGATTCCCCCAAGTGAAAATATAAGATACAGATACTACGACTGGAGTGCTAACGATTTTTTTTTCAAAGAGAGTGAGGAGAAAAAGAAAATATACTTGTAGTTGTTTGCATATGCAAAGAAAAGTATGTGGACAAATACAGAAGAAATTAGTAACCACTAAATCATCTTCTGTTTTGGAGAGTGAGAACTGGACAGCTGGAATCAAAGGCAAGAAGGCAGCATTCATTATATGCAATTTTCTACTGTCTGAACCATTTGAATATACTACTATTTCAAGAAAATTACAAATTTTAAAAATTAAATAATATCTAAATTTATATAGGTCCAGCTCTCTAAGAATATTTTTTTTTCCCAAGAAGAAGGAATTCATTAACAACCATGGCCAAGTTTTTTAGACTAATGACAAACACCATAAAATTTAAAGGGCCAGGACTTCAGCACAGCCATACCAGCTATCAGCCATTACGCAATTTTTCTAAGCCTTACTTTACTCGTTTGTAAAATTTAAGAAACGACTACTTTCCTGCTTAGGTTGTAATATCTATAAAACACCTAGCACAGTGCCTGAAGTTGCAAAATAAAGGGAAATAGTATTGCTGTCATCTTCAGAAGAGAAAAATAAAACTCATGCAAATAAATATAATTTGGAAATTACCATGAACCACAAGTTGAGTAAAAGCAACAATATAACAGGGACATGTAAGAGGAAACAATGAAACAGAAAGCAATCCTAGGTTACTTGAACTGTTATGTCCAGGTTTAGGCTCTTAAGTTTGTTTGTTTGTTTGCCTAAGGTTAGAGCAGCAGGAGAAATTGTCCTATTGAGTGACAGCTGCCACTGGCACAGTCCCAGGGCAAGGACGCAATCAAGAGTTTTCTCTTAGCAGCAGCTACCAAATCCTGGCCCCATAGCCTGAGGGAGGACCTGTGAAAGTGCTAGTAAGCTTTGCTTTTAGAGGAGAAAGTAGGTGTTTAAAAATAAAAGGTTTATGTTACATGAATTATATACCAATAAAAAATAAATCACAGAAAAATACATTTAAATAAATACTGGGTGGTTGTAAGACATCTTTTATAGGTATAAAATAACTGAGAATCTTTATTTTAAAAAACATTTAATAAAAATGTGCAGGTACATAAGTAGTAACAATAAGACATCTGATAGTACTTCGTTGTCAAAATAGGTCTGAAAAAGAAATTGTGAACAATATTGATTTTCATTAACTGTAAAAAGAATGGCATTAATCTATAATAGTGACTAAAACAGGCTTAACAAAAGTAGAGAGTGGGTATAGGAACTCAAACTTACAGACCCTTAAAAGTAAGATAGATTTTTGCTAGAGGATATCACTCACTCACCAGTCAAGCACTATGAAGACTCTAGCACTATGAAGACCACGATGAAGACTCTAGACATGAGTTGAGAGATTTGGGAGTGGTTTATTATAACCAAGAGATAACACACCATCCTCAGTCCCGCGTCTTTCAGAAGATGATGATAGAAGCACATCTAAGACTTACTAATTCCTAAGTTTCAACCAGAAGTCTAAAAAAAGTTTATTTCAATATACTACTAATTCACAGTTTGTTTCCCTGTAAATCTGAAATACAACTGTTATTTACTCCCAAGTTCAGCACAAAGATGATAAAATGTTGTGCCAAAAAAAAAACAAAGAAAGAAAACAAAACAAAAGTGCTGGTAACAGGATATAGGCTCTAGAATCAAACAAAATCTGAACTCCAACTCTACCCTTCACTACCTGCGTAATCCAGACAAATTAACTTCTCTAATCTCAGTTTCCTAGCTTGTAAAATAAGTATTTTAAGAATACCATCAGTGAAATGCAAAACAAAACCACAATGAAATATCACTTTACATCTACTAGGATGGCTAAATCAAAACGATAGACAGTAACAACAGTTGGCGAGGACGGGGAGAAATTGAGAAATTGGAACCCTCATACACTGCTGGTGGGAATGTAGAATAGTGCAGCCCCTTTGGAAAACAATCTGTCCATTCCCCCCAACAGTGAAACATAGAGTAATCACCTTATCTAGCAATTCTACTCCTCAGTATCTACTCGAGAGAAATGAAAACATTTGTCCACACAAAAACTGATACATGAATGGTTATAGCAGCACTAGAGCCAAAAAATGGAAAAGAGCCAAAAATTCATCAACAAAAGAACAGGGAAGTAAATATAAGGTATCCATACAATGGAATATTAGTCAGCTCTAAGAGAAAATGAGGCACTGCTACATGGCACATGCTACAACATGGACAAACCTTGAAGACATTATACTAAGTGAAAAAAGCCACTCACAAAGGACCACATATTGTATGATTATATTTGAAGGAAATGTCCAGAATAGGCAAATCCATACAGAGACAGTGAGCAGATTAGAGACTGCCTAGCCTGAAGGATGAGGAAAAAATGGGGGAATTAGGGAGTGATGACTACTAGTGCAGGGGTTTCTTAGGGTAATAAAAATAAAAATGTTCTAAAGTTGATTGTGGTAATGAATATATAATGCTGTGAATATACTAAAAGTCATTGAATTGTACACTTTAAATGAGTGAAGGGCATATGTGAATTACATTTCAATAAAGCTATTAAAAAAGAATTGGGTTCCCACTGCATGACAGTAAGTTATTTACCTTCTTTATGCCTCAGGTAACTCTTGGGTAGAATGAGATCAATAATTTTACCTACTTCAAAGAGTGTGAGACAAAATCAAATTAGTTAGTACAAGCCAAAGTGCTTAAAACGAAGCCTGCACATATGAAGTGCTCAATAAACAACCCCATGAAGGTGGCGTTTTGTTACCCACTTTACCAGGGCCCAGATACCACAGAGATTGTCACTAGTCCAAGGCCACACAGCTGGAAATAGATTTAAAAAAAAAGAAAAGATACTTATTTCATAGTTATTGTAAGAAATATGAGTTGGCCCACATAATAACTCCTAGCATACCGCACATGTTCAATAAATGTTAACTTTAGCTATAAGTAGGACAAGGACAATTCCTTGCAAATTTTATGATTTTTAAGAAACAAATATTCTGCTTCCTTTATACTACTTCAAAGCAATTTCAAATAAAATCTACTTGGCAAAGCTTTATTACCAAAGACCCAAAAGTACCATATTTAATTTTTAAAAACACACATAAGAATGAATAAACACATGGTAGACCCCAGCTCAGTCAAGCTGTCTCTAAATTGTTCTGCTGACTAAAACAGTTCCATAGAGATGAATTTTGCCTCCTGTACAACTACAAGAATTTAACTTTTAAGTCTTCTTTTCCACTTCATCTCACCCATCCACCCTTACTCCCCTCCAAAAAAACTTTTCCAATTCTGTCTTACTTTCTGAGCCAGTTACTCAATGTGTTAACTCTCAGCTCCACACCCACCCTTCTTTGTCTATATGATCCTACAGTTGTGCCTTTTCAGCATTTCTCCTTTGCCCTCTGCTCTAATATTAGACCTTGTCAATAGAGAGCACAGGAGAGACATTGCAAGGAAAGGAAGAAGGGGCTTCTCTTCAGGTTCCTGTGTGCTTCTTTGATTTCTCCTACCACGGCTGCTAGGGACATGCAGGATATCCCAGAGGTGGCTTCCAGTGGACCAGCTCAGCCAATTCCAGCCTGCTCACACCACGACAAGTGGTTTCCTGTGGACCAGTTCTAGCCTATGGCACCCCAGCAGACTATATCACCCAGTAGGCCTTCTCCACATTCTCTCCTACCAGGTCTCTCAGTGTTGTCTGGGGAGACCTTTTTAGTTCCTTCCTTGGGAACTCTGCCTTGGTCTTAACTTAGAGGTAGTAGCTGCTCCCTACATGTACTACTGTAATATTCCTTAGACGCTTTTTTTTATAGGTTTTTATAACTAAACACCTCTTACTAATAATTATTTGCATTAAGTTTTCCTTGTTCAAACTGCCAGTATGTTTTCTCTTTCCTGACTGGAATCTGACTCATACACTGATGCAGTCTCTCTTTTATTTCCCACGTTCTCCTGTGGGAGTAGAGGGGAACAAGGAGGAAGCAGAATGTTTCAAGCCCCTTAGAATTTACAATTAGTGTTCAATTTTTTTTTATTTTAATATTTATTTATTTATTTAATTTTGCCTGGGAAGAATGTAATAGGTAGTTTTAAATATCACATTTAATAGCCAAGATCACACCACTGCACTCCAGCCTAGGCAGCAGAGTGAGACTCCGTCTCAAAAAAAAAAAAAAAAAAAAAAAAATCGAATAGTCAAATAATCTTGACTTGGGGAGGAGACTGAGAATATTTGGCTGAGTCTTGAAGAATGAATAGTTCAGGTAGATGACATAAAACAGCATTCTGTACAAAAACAAAGATTCAGGAAGAGACTTGAAGAGTTTGGGGCATGTTAAATTCATAAGTGTGACTGGAATGTAAAGTTCCAGATAGGAGCAGGAAAAAAAAGCCAACAGTAAAATGTGGCTTAATTTTTTTAAAACAGTGATCATATATCTACTGAAAGCCTCCTTAAAGCAGCACAGTATCATAAGGGATATAAGATATTTATAGCCCTAATAGTAATTCTGCCCCTCCCCTTTACCAGCTGCTAAAGAGAAAGTCCAGATATTAGTGTTGATGAATAAGATTCACACACATCTGAGCAAATAGTAAACGAAGTACTTATGTACTAGAGTTGGGGTGATCCTCAGTAAATAACACGTGTGATTTAAAGGAATAGAACTTTTGCCCTGCCCCCACTCCCATTCAAGATCCAATCATTGTTCTATATGGGCAAACCAAGAGGTAAAGTAAAAAAGCTACTAGAATTTTTTTTTGTCAGATTTTGTACTCCTATTAGGGCTGATGCAAGAACTTCTCTCTCTTAATTCAAATCAAATACCTGTTTCAAGTTTTAAAGTTTTAGCCAAACAATTAGGATTTAGGAAGCTGTAGTGGACATTCAATTTGCCTATAATTATTAGTCAGTTTCTGCTACATGCTCAAACAAGAAATAATAATGACTGGATTTGTGCTGCTGGAGCATTTAACATAAGAGGTATCTCTGCTTTTGCAGATGAAGCCACAACCATCACTCTAGTTTGTATTTACATAGTGCCTCTCTTCATGGAGATTTAAGATGCTTCACCAGCTTCATCTTATTCAATCCTCATTTCATCCCCATAAGAGGAGTTGGAAAATAATGCTTCATTTTGATAAAGGCAAAACTCAAATATCATAACAAAAAAAGTCTGGCAAATCTAGGCCTAGAACCCAACCAATATCCAAACCAAGACAATACTTGTACATTACTGTAACAGGAAAAGTGAGACTGAAAAAGCAGAAGGAGGAAGGCAGGATTGGAAAAGGAATGTGGCAGGCCTGTTGTCTTCCAGTTGGAGGCAGCAGAATAGGGGCATACACAGGGGACATCGAGAGTCATTATGCCAGGGAATATGGCAAGAGGTACCATATTAAATAAGGAAGTTTTAGTTCTTACTGATATCAGAAGTTTCAGGCATTTGAGGACTATTTCCCACCTTGGATTATCCCAGATCTAGCAATATGCTATACTTAACTAACAGTATAATTTTAAAAAATGATTCCATGTTAAAATATATTAGAGAAGCATCAGGTTAAATAGAATTAGTTCCTTTTCTGAAGAACCCTTCAGGATCTTTAACTAGTATTGTGCACTGGATTTTCAAAGAAGAAAAGATATAGCATTTCCAAACTTATTTCACGACAGGACTACTATCCCTTCTTATAGTCCAGAAGAATATGTTAAGATCTCCAACAGCATTACCTGACTGAAGATAAAGTCTGATAACAAACAGATGCTTCATCAGGAGGCAAGATTATCTGTATACCTAAATTCCACATCGACACTTTATTTAAGAGAAACAAGGATAGATTCATTACCTTTTGGTGGTCATCTCTGTAACATTCCTGCTGTATCATTTCCAAAAGGTTTAGAGCCAACTGCTGCCTAGAGGGACCTTCTTCATCCATAGATATACAGTCTTCCAAGGCAGTAGAAGATAGTATCTGCAGAATTGGCATCACTAACAGCAGAGAGGACTTTGGGATTTTCTGATCCTCAGTAACAGAGAGGAGCTTCAAAGCTATTCATCAAAATAATAACGCACGTTTTTAAAAATTAATACCACAGTCAAACAAAATGCAATTTTGCTTAAGAGTGATAAGCAAGAAAGTTTTCTTCCCTTTTACAACTGGGTCAGACACATAACTAGGATGATAAATTTTATCCTAAGATGAAATAAAAGGAGTATAAAGAAACTATTATATAGAATAAGCTGTTAATGTATGTAACTGAAAAATTGATGATACTCTTTTAGGTCAATATAAATTTTTTTAAAAACACAATTCAACATTTGTCCTTAATATCCTCTGAGATGCTAGTATTGCCCTCAGCAAACAGAGCTAAGAGACCAAGAATTCCTGGATCAGTGGATAACAAGGCCAACATACATGCTTCCTTTACAAATGCAGCTAAGAATCCTATTAGCAGATGCTTAAGTAAACAGCAAAGTGAAGCAGGACTGCCCTTCAGCTGTAATTGCTAAGAAGGAGATTGTGAAAGTCCCAAAGTCCAGAACCAAAATAACAACAACAAACAAAAAAAAAAATTAGTGAATTGTTCTTTAATATGGAAACAACTTACACATCAGATACATACAGTTATGCAATAACTGAGTTACATGTAGAGTCTCTATTAACTGAATGAGTTAAGGCATAAATATACTTTTTTCACAATATTTTTTCAAAGTGATGTAATTAACCCTGATTTACTAAAAGATGTTATTCATGGGCTTCAAAGTTACATTATCAAAATATTCTACTGATTTCCCCACTACAGCAAAAATAATTCTTTAAGCCTTGAATCATGTCAATGAGTTGTCAGCATTTTATTTTACATCATCTGGAGGTCAAACCTTAACATGATATTAAGTACAAACACCTGTTACTCTAACACTACTAATTTACTTTTCTTGCCTAAATATTGGTCTTAATCTATAATTGTTTCTGATATCATCTCTACTAAAAATCCATTATCTTTAATATAACAGGAAATGAAAATAATACCAATATTTTAATAGCCTCTATTATAAATCTAAATATTACAGGCATTTTTATAAATTGCTATTCGTAATCAAGGCTACAGTTAACAATTACAGTGTAATATTACATCAATGTAAAAATAAACATACACATAAATCTTTTAAATTTGGAATAATCAATATTCTCTTGGTGATCCTATTTCTTTGAATACTCTTTCCCCACAGCTCTTCCTTACTTTCCGACAAGACATATTGGCTTAGCAGTGCTCAGTACAGTTTATTCACTCTAAGGTAACTTTAAGTCAGAGACGTTGGTTTACGAGACAAAGAAAAAGTCTGCTAACCAGCAAATAATGAAAGTATTGAGTGTTTGATACTGTATTATCTTTCTCTTACACATGAACCACAATATAAGAACATAGCTTCAGAATTTGAAATGTAGTTTTCGGAGGCTTTAGAATTTTTTTATCAAAAAACAAAATCCATTCATATGAAATGTCTAGAAAAGGCAAATCTATAGAGACAAAAAGCAGATTAGTGTTTCTCTGGGGCTGAGGGTGAAAATGAGGATTAACTACAAATGGTCACAAGAAATTTTGGGCGGATGATGGAAATATTCTAAAACTAAATAGTGGTGCTGGTTGCACAAATCTATAAATTTACTAGAAAACACTTTATTCTGAATTTTATGGTACATAAATTACACCTCAATAAAGCTGTTTTAAAAAATAAAACTACAGCTGTCAGAAGTACCAGCACTGGTAAATTATACCTATGGGAAGATCCCACGTGCACTGCTATAAGAAAAAGGCAAAAACGGGATCAGACTGTGGAGGGAAGGCAGAAGTAAACATAAAGCCAGTGGCCAAATGCAGGGTAGGAATCAAAGCCTAGGAGGCAAGGATCCCCTCCATGTGCTAAAGCTATTTCCAAGACACGCTGTAGGTGAAAGAGCAATTCACTCCCAAAATCATGA